AGAATAGCACCATCCACAGACAGTTCAAGCCACATCTATAATTTTTATATTCAGTAGTTGCCACATTGAAAAAATAAACAAGAACAGGTATGACTAGTTTTAATATATTTTATTTAATTTGTTATATCCGAATATTGTAATTTTGACATGAGACCAATATGCAATCATGAATAAGACACTCTGTAGCCTTTTGTTAACTAGAAAGGCTTTGAAATTCAGGGTACATTTTATACTTCCAGCACGTCACAGTGCCTGAGCTGCCTCCTGACTGTCATGCTGGAGAACATATGTCGAGGATCTGCATCCTCTGGGTTAGCTTTTGCTGACTCGAGACTTAGAGCCAGATGAAAAGACAGTAATCTTCTGTATGAGTACTAAGACGTCTTCTTTGAAACAGAACTTGGAAGGAAGGCCCTGGAGAGGTGCAGGGTAAGGTGTGACTCCACCTCCCTCAGCCACAATGTGACGAGTGTAACACACTAGGCGAACCGTGGCATGCTGCCCTTAATTAATGCAGAAAAGTGTGACGGGGCGCATTTTCAAGCAATCAGACGTAAAATAATGAACAGGGTTATTAGGAACCACACTTTGCAGGGGAATCAAATGGCTTTCCTCCTGCATTTCTGTTTAAAAGAGAGTTCTCTTTTAACATTGGAAAAAAAAAATTGTGCTAGGGGAAAAAAAAAACAGCAAGAAAATTGGACCTGGTGAGTTTTTCAGAGAGGGATGGAAAGAATGAGATCTGGAGTCATTTTTTGCAAGGGAACACTTGGTGCACACTGTACCAAGGCAGGTCCTGGGACCCTGGGCCTTGTCTCGCCTCACGAAGTGAATGGCTCCTTGCATGGATTTCCATGGGAAAGCAATCTGGGGCATCACCCTAGCATAAGATGCACTGTCCACCTGTCTGCTGTTCTTCTGGTCTAGGTCCATAGCAACAGGGACTGTTGGCTTTTGGGGAATTCTTTCGGGTGTTAAATGAATGCATTCTTTCTACGGACCAACACTGGTTCATCTATTTGTGCAAAAGGAGGATGCAGCCCAGAGTTCCCAGGCAACAGTGGATCTGTCTTGCCATGGTGTGGTTTGGGGGTGGGCATTGTGTTGGTGGGTAGGCGGAGGTGAAGAAAGAGCAGGGCTTCTGGTTGGGCTTTGCTAGCCCCCCCGTGGGGTGATGTGAGAGATGCAGAAATGTGCTTACTGTTTTCTCATCTGCACAGTGCAGGACAGGACCAGCCAGCACGGATGGCTCCTGCTCCACTTCCAACTACAAGATTGCTTTATGTGTGTCTTCTCTCTGTAATTTAGCCGTATAAAGTAGTACAGAAAACAATTAAGCCTCTCCCAGAGCGGGTGGACAGTTTCAACTGTTCCCAGTCCTTACAGGTTTCTTCCCCCGGGTTTCCCACAGCGACGAATGTAAAGGAATGGCCAGCCCTTCTCTTGCCTTTCTGCCATTTGTGGAAAACGACACTTTCACGTCTTAAGATGGTTGCTCCCTGCTCCAAACGCTCATGTGGTCAAGAATGCACAAGATAATGAGATAGCAACACTTATCTTTCTCTTAGTCTGGCCTCTGGCCACTCTGTCCTTCCGAGTTCCCTGAGAGCAACTGATGCTATGTGTATTCTAGTGATTGTTTTTTTTACATCATGGATGGGTGTGTGCTTTGTAACCCACTGTGGTATTTATGAATCCACTTAAAAATGACAAGAGGGCCGGGCGGTGGTGGCACACACCTTTAATCCCAGCACTCGGGAGGCAGAGCCAGGCGGATCTCTGTGAGTTCGAGGCCAGCCTGGTCTACAGAGCGAGATCCAGGAAAAGCTACACAGAGAAACCCTGTCTCGAAAAAGAAACCAAAAATAACTAAATAAATAAAAATAACAAGAGGAACAGAAGTTCCAAACCCAAAAATAACCTTCAGAGATTGTCCCATCATCTGCATATGAAGACCCTGAGTCTCTTCATGGCTGTAGAATGCTCCAGGGTTGGAAATAATGTTGCTTCCTGAAGCAACGGACATCTACACCTTTTATCTTCTGCTGTGACAGATAGTGCTGACATGTCTGTGCTTACACCCTTGCCCACAGATTTACTATATTTGTAGGGTAAAACCCCACAAGTGGGACTGGTGGGCCAGAGGGTGACTGCACTTACCATTTTGGGTTGGTGTTGTGTGATTGCCTCGTAGAAGTGACCACCACCAGCAGCACACAAGTGGGTGTGCCTCCCCCGACGGCAGCCAGCGGAACATGAAATCTGACCTTGATCTTGAGTGTCTAACAGGTTAAAAACGCCGTCTCTGTGTGGCTTTAGTGTGCCTTACTATTCCATGAGTGGGGCCTTACTCATCACTGAGTTATGCCTAGCTCGTATTTCTGCTGTCCAGTCACCCTGACCCTTGTGCATTGAGTCCAAAAGAAACCGCCACCTCTTCCACAGAAGCCTGCTTGCAGAGGGAAGAGCTCCTGCCCTGGGCTGCCACTGGCTGTTCCCCCAGGGCCAAATGCTCTCTATCGCCTCCGGTTCCCATGCCTGCTTGCTCTCTGCTGTTGGCCTTCTCTCTGGCCAAGCCGAGCTACTTCCTCCTAACACTCGGGGTCCTTGCTTCTGGTCCCGGATTGTACCGGTGTATGCCATTTCAGCCCCTCCCTTCCGTTGTCCCCAAGAGAACTTCTCTTCACCCCTCAAAGCCCACATGGAATTCTCATTTCTCCCATGGGCTGATCTAGACCCCCGGTCAGTTGTGCTGATCTGCATTGGGCGTGTTTGTTGTTTGATCGGGGATCCGGCTTTTCTGTTCAGATGGTGATACAGTATTTATTTATAAAGCTTTCTGGTTTGAAGCTCGGAGTTCAGCAGTGCTAAGGAAGCTCACATTGTCCACAGCCGCCACTGCTGTTTCCGGCGCGTCCTCATCACCCTGCGACAAAACTCTAACATTAACCACCCATTCCCTCCCCTAGACCGCAGCAGTCCCTCTTCTATTTTGCCCCCAGGAGGCTGACTCCTCTACCTTCTCCTCAGTGCCTCATACAGCACTTCCTGTTTTGTGTTGGGCATCTTTCACTGAGCGTGTCTCTAAGGTTCATCCACTTTATAGGATAGCAGAATCCCATTCCACTCTAGACCACTCTTCTCGTCACGGATGAACACTTGAGCTGCTTTTAGCTATCGAGGCTAGTGTGCCTGTGGATATCAGCGTATAACTCTGTCCTCAAGTTCTTGCTTTCAACTTTTTGGGTGTATTTGGGAGAGGGCTCATGGGATCAAGCCATGGGTAAGGTGACCTGCTGACGTCCCACGCAACCTAAGTCAGAAGCTCATTTTTTAGTAAAAGGGGGACCTCTAGGTCCCTGCCCCCCCCCCCCCCCCCCCCCCCCCCCGTTTTGGGTAACTGTTGCCTTGCTTGCTGACCTTGACATCCTCCCTATGCTAATTCCCTGCTGGGTTCCACCCTCCTGAGTGCTTAAGGGAAGTTCCTTGTCTGTGTATCCTGCATAATGGGCGTTAACAGCTTAGATGCAAGATTGTAAAACATCGGTAGCGAACTTCTGCCCTCCGGGCTTCTCCCATTGTGCTATAAGCCTGTATTTAAGACCTCCTCCCTCCTTCAATAAACGGCATTCAGCATTAAAAAATAAAAATTAAAAAATTAAAAAAAAGATGTTTCAAATAAGAATGTTGAATACTTACCTGGCAGGGGAAATACCATGATCACAAAGGTGGTTTTTCCCAGGGCGAGGCTTATTCATTGCAATCCAGATGTGCTGACCCCTGTGATTTCCCCAAATGCGGGGAAACTCGACTGCATAATTGTGGTAGTGGGGGACTGCGTTCGCGCTCTCCCCTGAAGGAAAAAAAAAAAAAGAAAAATGTTGAAATGTTGACTGGGCATTGGTGGCACACACCTTTAATCCCAGCACTTGGGAGGCAGAGGCAGGCGGCTCTCTGTGAGTTCGAGGCCAGTCTGGTCTATAGAGCGAGCTCCAGAACAGGCTCCAAAGCTACACAGAGCTGTACCATTTTACATGGCCACCTACAGTGCATCGGGACTCCAGTTTCTCCACACCATCACCCATGCTTGCCTTTTAGGGTGTTTTTTTTCCCCCTTCGACCATAGCCATTAACGTGGGTGTGAAGTGGTCACAGCGACCTTGTTTGCTCTGGACACCTGAATCACGAAGTCATGTCTAAACGGCTCAGCGAGCCACGGTTCATTACCTCAGACTCCCTACTTGCCTGGATTTTGTAACCAAGCTCCTCAGATTTCTGGAAGAAAGGCACAGGGTGAGAAGAGGACTTGGGCACTTAAAGAAACAGCCCAGTGGGCACACGGCTAAAACCTTTCTTGGCACCTGCCACATCAGGCACAGTGAAACGACAGGGCTGGGCCACCGCTGTGGTCCCAGCTTGCCTGTGTGCAGCAGCTGAGACCTCCTGCTGGGCCACCGGGCCTGCAGGCTTGTCCTGGCTCCACGCTCACCGGAGATAAATGCGCCAGGCTGCCCCTCTCTTTATGCTCCCTGGTGATGCTTTTTCAACGTTTCTCCAGCCCTTTGATTGGCATGTCCGGCCACCATTTGAAGTAGTTTGCACGTGCCTGAAGCTGGCTTATCTCTTTCATTCTAAGGCAGGTCCCTTTCACTGTTACCTTTGCCAGGGACCAGCCTCGTCCTTCGGAAACCAGTTCGGGAATGTTGCCACATAGCTTTGAAAGCCATGTTTTGATCAGCAGATGTTCCCGAGCCTACGTAGAGAGTTCAGCATGACCCAATCTTCATTTGTGTGTGTGTGTGTGTGTGCGTGTGTGTGTGTGTGTGTGTGTGCTGGTTTTTCTCTAGTCTAATAGTCATGCTTTTGACAGCTCTTACTGTCCAAATTCATTGCTTTTACCCAGAGCTGTAGTCTCTAATGCCAAGAAAACAATTCGTGAATGTGTTAGATTTAGGATGATTTTTAAAAACATTCTATATGACTTTTTCTCTCTTTTCCAGAATTTTGTGCCATCTCTGGCCAGACAGACTTCCCTGACGACGTCGGTGCTGCCCAGTGCAGAGCAGAGCGCGACGTACACAGACTTTATTTATTTTACTGCCTTTGAAGGGAGCGTGCGCAACGTCTCTGAGGTCTCCGTGGAGTATTTATGCTCTCAGCCTTGTGTTGTCAATTTGGAAGCCGTTGTCTCTTCCGAGTTCAGAAGTGGCATTCCCGTGTAC